AGCTGCATCACCACCAGAGAAAGTCCAGAAGAAATGGCAATCCAACGGAGGACTCCCATTAATCGCGATGGAATTTTTAAAGGAACCGAGCGGCAACGCAGTGTGGTATAGCAAGTACACAGAAGACCACCGAACCACAATTGCTGGCACTTGCACCCGTGTCTGTGTATTTCCCAAGGAACTCTGAATGGGGAAACAATGCTCCTGAAGTGCTAATATCCACAGAACAATTTGTAAGAATTGAAATCTCTAAAAACTATTTAATTCATTACATTTAATTATAATATTTCAATTATAAGCACTATTTATTTTGCCATTCCTGCTATTAGTGTGCTTTATAAGTGACTGCACTCTAATTTGCATTGCACCTTTGGAAACAGTCACTATCGTAATATACGTAGTATTTGGAATACCAAACGCCATAATTTCTTACACCCACAGAGATCATTATGAAATGTTTACAACACTGTACTTTTAAAACTTTAAATGCATTTGAAAAGCACTATCAGCCATAAGCCACAAGCCGATTTAGAAGAAAAATTAATTGTGTGAATGTGGATTGTAAAACATGAGTATAAACATAGTTAAAAAAACTTTGTACTGTATGTAAGTAATGTATGTTCAAACTTCTTTTAAACAAATGTGCCAACTCTATAAAGATAAACACATCAAATTAAATATTTAATACTCACTCGAGTTTTCTTTGAAGCTCAGCAACATTTCCTTCCAAATCCACACACTTGTTCTCAATCAGCTTCAACTGCCTCTCCAGCTGTGCAATCTGCTCCGTCTTGCTGTCAATACTCATCTGAAAAATAAATAATAATTTCATCCAAATGCAGCTTTCGCACCTTCACAACAATCAGGTGAGAATCACGCTGCAGTACACCGCAATCTGATATCTTACCAGCAACGCATCTTTTTCTTGATCCACTTGTGCAATGTTGCCGCGCAGCACAGTCTGTTCTGTCTTCAAAGAAGATACTTCTCTATCCAGAGAAGCTCTGTCACTTTCCAAGACTCGAACGCGGTCCCTAGAGTTGGCCAACTCCGCTTCCAGTTGAGCCAACTGCCCCTGGCTATCGGCCAGAGCACGATCTGTCTGGTCCTGCAGGGACCTAACCACGAAAAGATAGAATTGAACAAAAAATGTGAGCAGAAGATTAAGAGTTAGTTTCTGGCTGGGATGCTCTAAAGTATACCCTGAATGAATTTCAAAAGGTAACCCATCACCACATAAAAAACTCTTCAATTGTAGTCAATCCTATGAGTTTGCATCAAAAACAATCCTGGTAAGTTCCCAGAGGTAATGAATCTAAAAATGTTTTTCCCAACAATTAAAGAGAAAGTAAAATTCAGCAACAAAGAAGATAGTAATTAAAACTTTAAATTTTAATATACAACAAATAAATTTAGCTGAAATCAATTCTAGAAATGATTTGATGACACTGATTTATATTTGAATGCCATTATTAGAAATATGTAAAAATGTTACTACTTTATGTTACTATACATACTTAATTTGAGTATAGAGGGTGCGTTGCTGAGTAAGTTCCATTTGACTGCCATTAAATTTCTCTCGTAACGTCTCCAATTCATCTTCTAAATTATTTATGGTCGCTTTCTGCACACCAGTCGTAGCCATCAGTTCTCGCCTCTCCAATTCCAGTCGCCGAACCCTATCTTCGCTCTCCATGATGGTCTTCTCTAAACGGGCGTGTTCCGTAACTTGTGTCTCAGTAGCAATCTACATATTACAACAAATGAGAAATTATTTAGCATTTTTAAATAATTAAATAAAAATGTGCAACAAGTATAATGCTACTTCACATGGAGCTCGCACAAAAGCAGACATGTATCACACACAATACATAAGACACAATTAATAAAATATAAAAATATTGAAATATGAAAATATTGACTGTCTTCATTCCTCTTTACATTACATTGTTTTCCAGGTGTCTTTAAGTTTCAACCTTAGAGAAGTTGAAATTCATCCATCATGCAAACCACAATTATTACAATTTGGACACATCGCAACATGCACAAAAATGACACTGAGAACAATCACTTTGGTCATTACCATTCTCAAGTGGCAGTGAAGTTAACTCGTACCATTGTAACATTTCAAAATTAAAACGTAATGCCAAATAACCAGAATAATGCAACCAAATGAACAAATACACATCTCAAAAAGGATGGGGTACATATGCACATCATGCAAAGCACAGGAATTTGCCAAAGAGGAAAGGACTGGTAATGGATAAGGTAACCTTGAGCCGGGCACGAAGGGCATCTCTCTCTTCTTCTAATCGCAGAACATCTCCTTTAGCAAGATCTCGCTCTCTCAAGCATCGATTTACCACTGCCTGTACAGAAGTTGGGATACCATCCAAAAAACATATTTCATTTCATCAATAAGAGAAAAAGAAATATCCGCCAATGGCACTAATTCCATTTTAAAAATTATTCACTTACCCTAACAGACTGTCCTGGGCCCTCCATCACAGGGGAAGTCATTGCTGATCGTGCTACAGCAGATATGATTTTACCATCTATTCGCTTCTGAAGGTTCTGTTTCTCATAATTCAAATCCTGAATGCACTGATGAAGCTTCACTATTTCTTGGTCTTGTTCATTCAGCTTACGGCGTAGCTTCAAATTCTAGCAGGAGAATAATCTTCAAATTACATAAAATTGAAACCCAATAACACATCTGTAGGATAGATTCACCAGTTTTCAATATAACCAAGAAACAACCTGCATTATTCCTCTAGCACAATTTCACATTTTCAAGAATACATCACTATAAACTTAAATTTATAAATAAAGTTCAAAAATAAATAAGTTCAGTTATTTCAGCAATCAGAGATCTCACTATTTTAATTTTAAAATTTGTACTTGGCTTGGATTCTTCCTTATAATTATATATGTTCATTATATATTATCCACAAAATTCTTCTACATCAAGAAAGAAACATCCAATTCCATTTAGTATCAAATGTCAACTGTCATTCATTACAATGGAAAGAAATTTTATTTTTAGATATTCCTTCAGAAAAATTACCATTCAAAAACACACCTTGAGAAGATTCTACAACTTACATTTTCTGCTTCTTCCGCCACATCATTCCGTTTTTCCTGAAGGAGAGCAGTCATTTTTGCGATCTCCTCTTGTAATTTTTCTGCATCCCTCTGGTAGTGATCTCTTTCTGCCTGTATGCGCTTGATGGTGTTGCTCCCATCTCCAGAAGCCATCTGAAAAATATTGTTGGTACACAAGATTTCAGACGTGTACCTACTTCTCCCAGTGCAATATTCCAAGTGGGATGTAGGTAATCACATTCATAGAACTGATTCTTAGCTTTCACAGAAATTATGAAACAATGAAGAGTATTTGTAATGGTTCGCCAAATTGGTGTAAAAGTGGTTCATAATGCTGCTTTCATAAGGTGAAAACAAAATATGTGAATATTTGATCCAAGAACCTAAGCATAGTTAAGAAGCCAACATAGCCAATATTTAAATTTGCTTAATGCTGACTTACAATTGTTATATTTTTGTATATAAAATTGTATTTTTTGCGATTAGTATTCTACAATAAATTCTTGTACGGAAAAAATACTGTAGGCAAGCTTTATCGAATTTTCCAAGTATAAGAAACTAAGACATTTTTTGGTGGAAGATATGGCAAAAATATGAGAGGAAGAGCGTTCCTTTTAATAATGCTATATAGAAACAATAATAATTCAAAATAATCAAGATCAATTCTATAGGTTTTGGTATCTGAGTTTAGAACAAAATACAACAGTCTGATCATGATCATTAACAAAATTAAGACAGCAGACATTCTAACAAAATTATGGTTACAAAAACAAAACAATATCATTTTTTATCTCGTATAGATTACATTTTCTGGTAGAATAATTGCATTTCTTTACTGCTTGTATTTGTTAATTGTCTGTCAGTTACAACTTCAAATTCACAGATTCTGTTTTTGATAAATAAAAAGAATTAAAATAGAAAAGTAAATAGAAATCAAACCCCACATTATTTCGCTGAAATTCTATTAAAATCCTCTCATTTAGTAGTACATTGACAGAAGATATAAAAATACTGAAAAGAAATTAAATTAGAGTCATCTTGGTGAAACTAGAATTTTTAAACATGAGTGAAAGAAACACTAACATATTTGCCTTGCAGTGAATTTAGTGACATCAATGTAAGAATTAAGAACAACAAATTATCATATTAAGAAATTATGATATCAACTTACTGGATGAGGGTGAGACGGTATATTCTGAACATGTTCCAGAAGCTTATGATACTCGGTCTTGAAGTGATCTCTTTCAGCTTGAAGTTGTTGCAGCCTGATTTCTAATGATTCTTCCTGTCAAAAGCACCAGCATTTAATTTATTTAAGCATGGGCATACTGATTGCACATTCATGCATGTCTAAAAATTTAATGCAATCACCTATTGCTAAATCTTTATTAACAATATTGCAATGCAGGAGGTTTCCAAATGTAATTCAGTATCCTAACAACTCATGGTCAGTAAAAATCAAAATTTACAAATAGGTTTCCAATCCCATAAATTACAATGCTTTAAATTAAATTTATAAAAAGGTTAAATTACCTGTAACAACTCAGATACATAATAGAAAATAGCAAAGAAAATTCATTAAATAAAACCTCAGAAATTAAATATTTTGATATTTTGAAAATAAAAATAACTATTAGAAATATAAATGAAAAAATGTGAAATAAACAACTATTTAATAAATTTTTAATATTAACACTTACTAGCAGTTTTCTGGATGATATTGAATTCCACAACACTTGCAATAGACAGGAATGTCAGGAGTAGGAAAAAGGGTGTATACAAAAGGAAGGGCAGTACTTGTCATCTGTCCCGGATCAGTTTTAAACATGTACTCCAGACAGGCATCACCCGATTGACATCCAGTTGCCTCAAGATTCATAAAAATTAATTATACGTGAGTGATCTAATTCCCTCTTAATATTTCCTTTCTAAACATTCAGTTTACTCACCACAGGAGACTTCTTTGATCTGGTTGACGAACTTGAACTGTTTGCATAATTCAACATGCGAGTTTCAAGTTCTGCTATTCTACGCTTCTGCATGCTGTGTAACTGTGTAAGTCTATCGATTTCAGTCATCAAGTCCTTTTCTGTCAAATCGCAAAAGCATAAATGCAGTAATTAGAACAATGGGTTGCAAAAATGTGTACAGGTGAACAATCTTCTAAAACTAATTAAAAATACTGAAGTAATAACACACACAAAAGCATACAAATGAGCAATAAAATAAAGTAACTAACCAATAACTGTAAAACTGTTAATTTTTTCAATCAGCCTCTTCTTTTCTTCCCGGGTATTGTCCATCTGTTTTTGTATTTTGTGTTTTTCTAATTTTATTTTTCCTAATTCAGCTTCTTGCTCTTGACTACTGCGTTTTAATTCCAGAATTTCACGTTCAAGGCTATTTATTTGAGATAGACTCATTTCAAGTTTCTCCTAAAACACATAATTTAATAGTGTTTACAAGAAATATTGAAATCAAAAAGATTCTTTTGAACAGATTGTAACGTACATCAAGGGCTTGGAATCCTCTGCCACTTCAGACTGAAAGTGAGTTGTAAGGTTAAATGAGACATGAATTCAACTATAAGTAAGTGAGTACTACGACGTACATACAAACCAGTAGGCTCAGGGATATCTACAAGATAATATCTCCATTTTCGCCACAATGTGGCATCTATCTGATCCCAACCCCTTAGTATATAAAATTCAAACAAACAAAATCCACAAACCTGAATCTTATGCACTTTTTTGTTATTTTCCTTCACAGTTGAATTACATTCTGCTTCAACTGTGAGAGCCATATGATCAATATCTCGCAATTCTGTTTCTAGCTGTTTATTCCGTTCAGCTAACCTACAGGCTTTAGATGAAGCCTCATGGTGACTAGCAACAGCTTCTGTGATAAATAGATGAGTGGTTATTACATGTCAATCATTCTATAACATCACATGATAAAATAAATAATAATATTTTAAATGCTTCAAACGAATTTACTAATGTATCAACTCTTTCCATTTTATGAACTTTTCCTCTTACCTTTTAAATTAACTTCCAATTCTTTATTTTCTTTTTCCAATCTCTTAACTTCCTCTTTATACATTTTGAACTGAATTTCCATTTCTTTAACACAATAATCTTTACCTACAGCACTTATAGGACGACCTCCTTCCAACATGCTGGTCAAATGTTCTATTTGCCTGTCTCGGTTAAGAATCTACACAAAAGTTTACAAACTAACTACAAACACAAATTGACACAAACAGTCCAAGCACATAAAAAATCATTCAGTAATAAAAATATAACAAAGAGGCATATTGTCCTAGGCATGTACCAAACAAATAGGAAGAATCCAAGGGCACGGTTATTTTTAAGGAATGTATTAATATTGTAACAATAAAATGATAAATAATTAAAAAATGGAAATTCACAAAAAAGTCACGAAAAGTTAAGGAAAAAACCAATTAAAATAAACACAAAAATTTAATAATTTATCCAGTTTCTCTTCACGAAAAATTACATGCAAATTACACATGCAACTATATATTTTGAAACATTCTCATTACCTTAGTTTCCAAAAGAGATATTTTCTCTGATTGCTGGTTACGTTCCTCCTTCAAAACATTTACCTCTCTTGAGAGCAAACATATGCGTTCATCACATGTTTCCACCATGTTTGCTATATACGGATCCTTGACTTGTGCTGTTGCAGTCCAAAATTGATCTTTCCAAGTTTTTGGAGGGTCTAATGGTGCATCAATTTCAAGCGTTGGACGAGTGCGTAACGGTGCCTTCTTCCCACCTACCATCCATCATAAATTTCAATGATGACAAAAAATACACATTACTCAATGAAAAGTTTGCATAAATAATTCTTGACAAAAATTATTTTTGAAAAGAACAGAAAAACAATATTTTACCTGGGTTTATAACTACAGGTTGAGCACTTTTATTTTGTAAACGCAAAATTGTCAGAGTTTTTTCAGTTGATTCTTTCTCCAATTCTTTCACTTGAAGTAAGTGTTGGGAGCTGAGAAATTGGAGATCTGAATTTTCACTTTGCAGTTTGCGAATCTGAGACTTGAATTCTACACACATAAACAAAATCACACAATTATAATATGTAGCAATGGTGCATCATCAAGAAAATCTGATTATCAATAATACAACTACATGTTGCATACCTTTCTGCTGTTTTTCTATTTCTTCCTTACTCTTCAAATATTTTATATGTAAATCATTTAATTCTCTAACTAATTTTGCATTTTCTTGCTTGTATGGTTCTACTCCATTAGCGAAGTATACACGTTCCTGTGGAAAAGTGTACCAAGTATATGAGCAAGTTACATGGGAATTCAAAATGAACACTGTTCTGCAACATGATCCAACAATACCACCAAAAACTTTTCAGTGTAAATAAAAACAATCTCAACAGTAAAATCAATGGTGTGTGAAGTAAGCCCTACACATTTAACTGAAATAAAACTGGTTTACTCTGCAAATAAAAGGCAGAGGAGTATGGTCAGAAACAATAACTTTCTGTGTATATATATTATAATAAATTGTCAACAAATGCCAAAGACAGTGCCATAAACAAACATAATTTAGTTAATGGCATACAGCATTTGTCTCATTAGTTTGGTTGACATGACAACATTTACTTGTTTATCAGCATTTAACACAAGAGGAGAACAAATTATGTTATTTAAAATTTAATTTGGAGAACTGCACAATAAAATTATAAAATGGCATAGTACTGGTAGGTATAACATTATCATCAGAAAGAAATCATTACTTTGTGAACATGTTTACAAAGCATTGTATTTTCAGCTTAAATTTGTTAATCTGACTAACCTCTAATGACTTCTGAGCAATTTCTTTATAGTGTCGAAGACTTTCAGTTGTATGCAATAAGTCTGAGATAAGCCTCTCAACAAGCGGAAGGGCTTCTATTGGTAAAGTATTTAAATATCCTAGCTCATCTAACTGTTTTCTTAAGAGCCTGTATCGGCGTTCTGAAACACTTGCTTCTGAATCCATTCCTGCTACTATATTTTAAGCAATTTGCGTCACTACTATACTGAAACAAAAAGAAATACAAGGGAAAATGTTAATATTAATAACCTTTTTTTTAATGTTCACCTTTCTAAATAATTAAATTATGATTACTATGAAAGAAAACATACAATATTTATTATTAATGTACATATTTATGTTTTTAAGAACTTTGGGAGGCTACCACACACTTTATTAAAGATTTCCGTACACTGACATTGATGTAAATATAACCTATACCGTCATTTAATACAGAAATGGTTATAGCATACCTCGTTTGCTGTGTACATACTCACCGAGACTTAAAATTTCTTTAATAGCGAGATGATCTTAAAGAGCAAATTTCTTCTATTACCCATGTTTTCAATAATTTTATGTATTTGACAATTACACTTCCCGCTTGTTCCCGCCCCCAAAGCCGTAACGTATCACCTGTTCACGCTGTTCTCGCAATTTCGTAATGTGGTATATATAGCGCTATCTATGAGACTAAAGAAGTACTATTAAGTACAAATGTAGGGCGGAATTTTAAGCTCTGCTAGTTTCTACGTACGTATCGAAATTGGACATTTCTTGAAATTATTTAATATTTTGAATCTGTGATAATATGATTTATCACAGATTAATTATTTAATCTGTGATAAATCATATATTTTATTCGTTACTTAGTGCTTCTTTTCCCATAGTTTTCACGTTTGAGACAAAAACTTGCAGATAATAAATGACATGAGAATGTTACAATTCCTATTATGAACCACAAGATCAAGATCTTTAGAATAAATAAAGAAAATACTTAGGGGGGAAATTCAAGATGAAGACAAATAATTAACTATCTCATATCATTAATAAAATTATAGTTTTACCAGTAATTTGATGGAAATGAATTTAACATAAAATAAACATGAAAATTGTAGTAGATAGTATTTTTACATCTTTATAATGTTATATAAATTAAAAAACCTTATTCAAAGCATGTTCAATTTTTTTTAAATGGAGGGGCTGGAATAATAGAAAAAGCTGCAGAACTTTTTTTTATTGTTTGTATACATTAAAACATGTTCATGAGGTTTTCACTTCTGATTGTATTTTTTAAGCTGTAGACTATTATCTGAATATTTGAGATTACTTCAAATTTGAATGTTTTGCTTTCATACAAAGAAATAAGTATATTGGTTCTCTGTAAGGCAGTTGGTATTTCATTCAAGAAAAGGAATTATGTGAAACATATGAAAATATTTTAATATACTACCTTTATTACACCATGTCCACCAATGATATCTTCTTCAAGCAGGAAGGAAGACCAAAAAAGGGACAAATATAAGCATATTAGAAGGTACAAAATCCATATTTTAATTGATATTAATATTGACATTACGTTTCTCTAATAAAGTGTTTACAAATTGTGTTGTAACATGAAGATATAAATTATTATAGTATTGACCCTGAAGTTTTGATAAAAAAGCAAAGACATATTTCTGTACCTACATTAGGACACAAAATAACTTTTATACAAATTTGTAGGGAACATATTTTTCAATTGTTGATGGTAAAATAATATTTTAATGGCAATTTTTGTTATGAAATGCAGAGTTTCATTACATCCACATGTTTTCAAAATACTTGAACTTCTTTCATGTAACATAGTATTTACAGTTATTAGAATTACTTAAATATAAAACCTGAAAATTACTTGTATAAAAAAGGAAATGTGTTGCCTTCTGAACTGTGAAAGAATTATTTCAAAGATTAGGAAACTATAAGAAAAATCTTTATCATAAAATTTTTACATCCTTGTCATTAAAACTTTTTTTTTCATTCAAAATGTAAAATGTACTTACTTCTAATTGAAATTAACCCCTATAAGTCAATTCTGTTGCACAGAGAGAATGCTTTTTGTTTATATATTGAGGTGGGGTGGGAATTTCATTTGAAATTAAGGGCCTTAATGTTTTTTGTGAGCACCTCTTCTTGTCACAACAGTTTAACTAACTAACAAGGCAAATTCCAACTACTCTCTCCTCAAAGAAAATGTGAGTAGTTTTTCATAGCTTTATGAAGTTGGAAGAAAATTTTGCATCTTCATAATTTGTATTTTGGGTGAGTGCAAACTTAGAAAATGTTTGAATTTATTTTATAATTTCATGAGAAAATATTGTTAGCCTATTCAGTTAAATTACATTATCGACTTAAACAATTTTCATCTTACTTGTGTAATAAATAGTGCAAAGATACTAGAAATGTTTGAAAATATTTTTTTAAATGTTTTTTTATTTTTTGAAACCCCTTTTCTAATACTCATTGTTTTTTGAAAAATAATATTGATGTTAACCCATTTACAAATTTTAATCAGCAACAACACATATCAATTTTTAGTTTTCTTCTTCCCTCATTTTCTTTTAATTACGTTTAATGGAATTACATTTTGAAGCAAAAATCTTTAGAACAATCTATGTTGAATAAGTGTTGAGTATTTTGTTTTGTTTAAGTATGAAATTGTTACATATACTGTAAGCATTAGTTGTTTTTGTAACAATTTATAGTGTAAGATTACTCAGATATAGTAAACAAAAGTAATTGCTGGTATAATTTATGTGTGCATACTATTTTGTTAACTATGTCTCTAATATATAAATTTTTATTACTGTTATTATATTTTTTATACTAAAATCTATTGTCTCATGTCATATGTTATGACCAGTTGCATAAAATAAATATTATATTCTGTGTAAGTGTCTAATACCTTGTAGAGATGCCCTATGATGGTTTGACCCACACATTATTTTTCTACAAATTTCTGTAACACCAGTTTTCAATAAATTTAAATATTTTTATTCAATGTTTTAAAGGAAGACATACCTTTTGCATTGTTGCTTTTATAAGGACAGGAAAAACACGATATGAAATATTTCACAAGAACGTTAATTCTTTGCTTTGGTTAGCTGACGATGTTTTATTATAAAATAAATAATTTTTTTAAATAATTTTTAAAATTTTTAATCTTGAGGAAAGTGGTTACCTTACGTCCATAATTCGCATATTTTGTCAATCTTAAATTTGTGAAAACTTATGAGATGAATTCATTATAGTTTTACATGATCTTTACCAACGATTCCTAGTATCAGTGATAAGAAAGATATTAATTTACTAGTATAAAGCTCCCCACCTCATCACACATTAGATAACTGATCAAAGTTACTGGAATTGTAAGTCCAAAATGAGTGCATGGAAAATAAAACATGTATATGAAGTAGATTATATTAGAAATAATATTTAAGTTTGGGGAATGATTGGTTGAGTTTTCTGGTAATTCTACAGGCATTTGTGATTTCTAAATTCAGTGCTTTTGCTTGTCACATACTAGTAGTGTGTCCATGAGAGGTTTGGAATACAAAGCAAAGAACATAGGAGAAATATCTTCAATGAATCAAATAAACTACATTACTTTTAAATTTGAATATATTTCTTTATTGAGGATAACAGTCAGCAATGACCTACAAGGTCAACATAAAATGGATCAATTTAATTCCTTTTTACCTTACATTAAGTTTGTTTGGCACTGTGCCTTAGTTTGACGGCATTTCCTACTTATAGCTGTCTTAACAGCATTAATTTGGAAGTCCCAGTATTTTATACACAGATGTCAGTACATTTAATTCCATCTCCTTAGGAAGACTTAACAAAATCTCATAGCACATATACATATACCTTTCACATGTTTTGCGTGTCTTTAAAACAATATGTTGAGGTGTATATTCTTTTAGCGAATAACGTTCTATAAATATTTCTCTATTTGAATATAATATATATCAACTTTGTACATGGAAATACTTGATAATATATTAGCAAGTATTACTCAAAAGAGCTTAGGATTTTACGTATATTACATTTCTAGCAGTACTTCTATGTATGTAGTAAACAAAAGACATAAGTAGAAAGGATTTTGAAGTTCTGCTACAATTACAATGATATCTAAAAATAAAACATATTTTCAATCTGAATGGAAAGGCTTTTTAGACCCAAAAACATCAACATCTAGCATTCATGCCACTGCTGGATTATCAGAAGTTTCTGTTGAATGCATCTTTTTGCTTGGCATAATTCATGGCTTGTTGTTTTTTTTTGTCTATACACATTTATGGATGAAAATTACTACTATATATTACATCACATTTATAATCTCTTTGGCTATAATGTTGTAAAGGGTCAATTTAATTGGCCCACAAACAATAACTGCAGGTCCCTCAGGATAGCTGTTGCTTCATTTTCAATGCAGTCTTCTTTATGTTGAGAGAGCCAGACCGAGACGGGCCAGTACCATTTCCTTTCGGAGTCTTGTGATCTCCCAGTACACATCATGTACTAAAGAATAAAAATAATTATAATGTTAGAAACAAAGTTTTGAACTTTTTAATTCTAATTAAATATATGTGCACACCTACCTGAGCTTTTCACCAATCCTCGTTCAATATATCGCAAGTAATTCAAAAAGTCACATACAGCAGTGACCTGAAAGAATTAATACATCACAATAATCATCACATAATTAACTATTGAAATTCTGAAAATTGTATGGTACTTAATACAGATTATGTGATCTTACTCTGTTTCTACAGATCTGTGAAATGTAGTACCATTGTTCTTGATCTCCTAATTTCATTCTGTAGTGGCATTGTCTGGGAGCTTCCAGGAGTGCACATTTCCTGAAAATGTACACGTATGTATCTCACACTTTATTTAACATATTAACTCCTATAAGTTGTAAGGATATTTAGTAAAACATACTTTGGGAAAACAGTTTTACTCTTATCGCTGACAGCTTCAATAAAAATGTTTCCATCCTCAATGGCTTCTTGAACTTTAGAGCCAAGTTCTGCATTGCTAAAATCCAGGCAAAGGTTAATGTCTTCTTTGTATATTCTGGCAAGAAAAGGATCCGTCTTATCAAACTTTGGATTCTGCTTCCAATTTACAAACTCTTTGTGGATGTTAGGATCCACCTGAAACAATAATAATAAAATCATTAGAAAATGAAGGCTAAGGTGCATACTATTGAATGAATTTGTGAGTTATGTTTCTTACCTCCCAGCCATCTTTTGAATCAAGGAAGTCTGTTGGAGGCATGGTAGGCCTCTGTTCCTTGACTGGAGATTCTGGCGGTGAGTTTTCTCTGCCATATTTGAGATTGAAGTGGGATGGTGAGCGTCGGTGTTTGCGATTAAATAAACCCACCCCTGAAACAAGCATAGAAAATTGAATTCATTCTTTGACAATGAATAGCCAGCCAAATCATTTTTTCTTATTTGAGGGTGATGCATCAAATATAACTTCATTAATCTTTTATGAAAAAGAGAACCCTCAGCAACTGATTAATTTTCATTTTCAGTGTTCGTTCTTTTGGATGCATAGTCTCCATGATTTCTAGCAAGAGAAGTATTCATTGCTTCAAATTTTCATAGTAAAAAAATAGGTTATTTATTTTTAATTAGAGGAACTACTGACTAGAGGAGACTGTACGCACGTGCTTGATCTCCTTAGGTATTATTTCACTTTCTGACACGGATTGCACGTGCAAATTCAGAGCCGGATATAGGTACTGTCTGTCCCCCTAGCACAAACTCGTAACAGGCGATGGGCTGGGACGCGGTTAGCCAATCAGGAACTTAAATTGTAGATATTCAAGTAGTAACGAAGCTGGCCAACCGCGCCCCAGTTTTTCGCTGTCATATGGCCCTGTTTTTATTGGAGTATGTACTCCGATTTAAAAGTAGGACGAAATATTTTTTGATCAGCTGGGACGCGGTTATCTAATTGGGAGCTTCAATATCAATAATGTATTAAGCCGTAACGAAACTCTCGACCGGACAACCGCGCCCCAGGCGATCGCTGTCAAATTACCGCATGCTTCAACCGGATTCTGTATTCCGATTTAAAAGTAGAGTAAAATTGATTTTCGATTAGCTGGGACGCGGTTATTCAATCGGCAGCTTGAATATCATTCATTTAAGTGGTAACGAAACTCCGTATTAAATAATCGTGTCTCAGCTGATAGAAGTCAATTTGGCCTTGATTTACATCGGTGTACAGGCTCCGATTACAACAGAGGGCGATTTGACAACGATCAACTGGGACACGGCAGGCGCGGATCCACGGGGAGGAAAATGAAGGAAAATGAGGGAAATCCCCCACCCACCTAAAATTTTTCAGTAACTATTTATATTAACTTGTCACGAAACTTTCGAGGAGAAACATTTTCGGATAATCATGAAAACGAATAAACTCGCATCGCAGTATGAACTGAGTGTAGTTTGCGACATTTTACAAAATCTGTAATGTGACTCATTAGACCAAAACATTTTTAACTTCCCCTCCCAAAATTTGTCTCTGAATTCGCCCCTGGCCGCGGTTGGATAATCGGGAGCTTCATAATCAACAATTCAACTAGTGACGAATCTTCCGATTAGAGAAAGGCGTCCCAGCCGATCGGAGCGTAGTAAAGACCCATTCATAATGCAAACATAAACATAAGCATGGCGTTAACATTAAAGTTAAAACTACGTCCGTAAGCGTACTCATTCACAATGCGTTCTCATAAGGATAACACGTAAGACGTTAACTTAAAAACTTGCAAGCTTCAAGCTTCTGCTTAAGACATAAGAAATGAACCAATCACAGAACTGTAACTCAAAATCGAGAATCGAAATTGGAGCGTAGTTCATAGAAGAACTAACGCCATATGGGCCATGGACACAGTCGATTTCTGGAAATCGATTCTCACATCCAACCAATAGTAAACCAGAATGTCTCACAGCCAATAGAAAGTCTTATTTTGCCTCCGTTTATGTTAGGCGTAGTGAATACTTGAGCCTACCACTTCTGTTAATGCGCTATGCTTATGTGAACGGGCCGCTTGAGCGAGGCCGGGGCTGACTGAGTGACTGACCTCCGACGGAGGCATCCGTCGGCGCGCGACCCGTGGCGGCCCGCCGCGCCAGGCCGTTGCGCGGGTGATCTGCGGTGTGCAGGTGCGGGTCTGGTGGCGCGGGCTGAGTAAGCACGAGCCGTTTAAGGCCGCCACCGCCGTCAGCAATCCACCTGCATCTTGGCTCTCCTTGAAGCTGCGCTCCGCCGCGCTGACGCACGTTGATCTCGCGCAACCATGTGTGCGCTCTAGTAACCGCGCGCATTAATGACGTTTAATAATAATAATAATAAGTAATAATAATAATATGATATATGATAATAATAAAATAATAATATAATAATAATAATAATAATAATAATGATAATGATATTAAGATATATGAATAATAATAATAATAATAATAATAATAATAATAATAATAATAATAATAATAATAATAAACTCACATGTATGCTAAAATACGAACGTACTACTTGCAAACACTCAAGACGCGTCACACTCGGACTATCATCTTACTTAAGCCTTCTACCGACATAAGCCGGATGATGTAGCAATGACACATCGTCATTTACACAGCATTACCCCCTACCGACTGGCTATGAACCAATTAACCGGCCACTCCTAACATTAGCCACTATTTCGATCGATTATTTTGGGTTTTCTTTAATATATGTGATCATCTATTCTTCGAAAAGTATAGTGCGTGATGTATCCTGGGAGGTACTGGTGTTCCTCTCGAACGAGAGATCCGGTACGCAGAAAACAAAATAGCACAGTAAGAGTATTATTTTTTTTTTCTAAATATGCTTTATATAGTACAAGCGTAAGATACCATTGCCCAGTTGTTCTTTGGAAAGATTGAGTTTATTTTTCTTCTTGTATTTTTTTTTCATTGGGAACGCAGACAAAAAAACAGTCGCGAAGGAAGAGTGGAGTGTTTTGTTTGTTTCTAAACAGAAAGACGAGTCCACATTTCCTACAAGGATCTAAAGCAGCGCTCAGAAGACGGATTGTAAATAAAAATAAACAAGCCGCCAGTGTCCTAAATCTTCTGGGCGAGGATCGTCGTTCCAGAAGTGCCGTACCATCGAATTCCGTCGCGAACGACTGAACAGATTACGAGCCCATTGCTACCCCGTCCGAGAGGCCGGGCAGACCCGAAGAGTAAGCAAGACGTTCGGCTATCGCGTTATGCAATCCGATGTGTGTTTGGAGCAATTACGAGGATGACGTTCTTAAGAGAAGTGAAGTCGCGTGAGGATTTAAAGAGGCAGCATTAAGCAATTCTGCTTCAATGGGCCCTTTACGTGGGCTCGTTTCCGGCTCAAACCGCAATGCATTGTCAGCACAGCTGCTCCCAATGACATCACCGCCACAACTGCCTGGCTGGCTGATATACACCGTCTGGATTGATTTCTCTCGCCAATTAAAATAATGAATAAATATAACGTATGACAGAAAAAAAATAACGAAGAATTAGTAAAGAAATTTTTGCCAAAATTTCAAAGGTAGGGGAGATAGGGAATGTTTGTAGGATTGATTGTTTTTAATTATTATACACAACTCTGGTTTAGTTTTGAGAAGTTTGCATCGATCAATGGAAATTTAATTTATTAGACTACCATATTAGTTGTTTTTTATTTGTAAATTTTTGAATGTCAAACTTTTAGAGTCGTTAAAATTCATCAACATGTTCCAACCTGCCCTACTTGTCGGTTGTTTCATTGATTGTTATTTAGTGTTTACGGGTGCATCAAGTACTAACCCGTAAGTGTACTGCATGTTATATTGCTGGAGGCGTTCCTTTCCTGAACATGAGATCCGGCGCCAACTACACGTCGGATAGCGGGGTTTTCTCCATCCTCCCTCCCCAGCGGGGACCATTTCTAAGCTCCAGACTGCTACCCCGACGCGTGTGATATAGTCGTGCATGCGAGAGAGTGTGTGTTGAAGGGAAGGGGAGGCAAGGATGAGGAAAGAAGGATAGCCCGCGACCCGTGGCCCCGTTTGTTAATCTACCGTGCTCCGGCATTCGTCTTGTACTCCTCTGGAAACTGCAGAAAACTATCATCCGGAGCAACCGGACACAGGATATTTTTAAACATCGATGTTTTTAAACATCCATGTTTTGAACCCGATGTTTTTTGAATAACGATGTATTGTGTTCGATGTTTTTACTTTTTCGATATGATGTTCGTGGATGAAAAATTTATATAATCACAATTTTGTGAAAGTTGAAATTTGAAATAATAACTGAAGGTACCACTGACAGCTTGTGTTCGAACCAAACAAATGCGGTGTGTACTGTCTTCATCGAGCAGACTGCTATCCTCGCCTCAGATGATACCGATGCCCTGGCGTTTCCTTCGACTTTCCTCGTATTTCGCACATGGAGAGGTTTTTTATTTGTTTTCAGTTAAACTTTATTTTCAAATTAATATGCAGGGCGGCAGTCAGCCAAGTGATTTCACATTGCCCTCCGTGCTAATAGAGAACCCTCACATAGCCAACTGTCTCATAGCCATAGCATCCTCATCATTTCATCGTCCATTCCCACAGGGCTAACATCCCTGGTGGATAAAAATCGGATCCAGCTAACTACTAATGCCCTGATAAAAATTACATGCTCCTGCCACCGAGATGTTTCTCAGCCCCGGTAAATGCAGGATGCATGCACGCGTGTCGACCTTATTGCGAAAATAAATAAATAAATAAATAAATAAATAAATAAATAAATAAATAAATAAATAAATAAATAAATAAACAAAAAATAAACAAACAATGGCTTCCAAATGGTAGGGATCGACAACCCTAGAATTTGAGGGAGAGTGTATTTCTTTATTCCTCGAATATCTAATGCATAGGTCATACGTTCCTCATGAGCAGAGTATATTATTGCCCGGATTGAGTTGGCGAGCAGGGTTGTGCAGAGCAGGGAGACTGACCTGGAAGAGGGAGGCGGTGAGGTCCTCCAGCTCGGCCTCCACCTCCTCGCGGATGCGGCTGAGGCGCGTCACCTCCTCGTCGCGCAGCTTCAGCTCCTGGTGCGCGCGCCGCAGCTCGTCCTGCAGGCGCGCGAACGCCTGCTCCTTGACGCCCGCCACGGCGCGGTCCCAGGACGCCTCGGCCTCCGGGTCCAGCCCCTCCGCGCCCGCGCCCACCGCCGCCGCTGCCGGCGCGTCGCCGCCGCTCGCGCCCCTGCGGACACCACACGCAACACACTCGCTCACACATTCGTTACACGCCAAATTCAGATACAGACATATTCAGTCAAAAATCAATAAAAAATAATAAAAACACCTCTATGTGTCGTGTGTCGTAGGGAGGCAAATACAGGATGCGACAGAACCGACTAAGCAGTTTCTATTGATTACCATTGTATTATCTGCGCACGTTTTCTTGAGTTCTAGAATCCCTTCCCATCATTTTAACTATAAATAGTTGAAAGATGAGTAAAAGTTTAACATAAATAAAAATAAACAAATACATCTTAATAATAAATTTTAAAAATCGCAAGAGTAGCAATATTTGAAAAATATTCATTTTTGTTTCTGAGTTACAAAAAACTTATTTACATCGGTACAAAAATTGCAGGTATGATTTTTCTGTATTGCTAACAAAATAGCAACTCGGCCTTACCTCTACTCTTACCATTACAAGCTAAAGGAGAGTTCAACAAAACGTGCGCATAGTGAAGCTACATTTACGTCCAGAAGTAAAACAAGGGGCCATCTCAGCATTTGCTCAATATAAACTCAAATATAAACTATAACACACTCGCACATACATTCATTATATGTAAACTTTATATGTAAAACTTTAAGACTCGTTAAAATTCATCAAGTCAAGATGTTCCAATTAGGGCCAAACATTCATTGATTGATTAGTGAATCCGGGTGCATCAGCTGCTAAGAGTAGTGAATTTTTTATCGCTGGATGTGGTGGTTACCTTTCCCCGTAAGATGGCGAGAACCTGAGCCGACCTACATATTGGCTGTTTCTTTCTAATCAGGGATCTTCCACCAGCGGGTCACCGCCCCAGCCGGAACAAGCTCTAACACTAAGATCCCAACTGGTCTCCCAGCATGTGTGGTAAAATAGTGCGTGGAAGTGAAAATGCGTGTCTCTCTGAATAAATGTTACGAACTTCTACCGTATGTAGATGTAGAAGACGATCAGTTTTACCAATGAATGAGTGGGGAAATCCCATTTAACGACGTTACACAACTTCAAATTTGAACATGACATCGTCCATGGATAAGCAAATTCTCTTGCATTGATGTTTTGCAGGAACAGGAAATCTAATGACAGCATCAAAATGTGATCTGCCAAACACCAATGCAAGACTTACCATCGGGGGCAAAAGTCACATGTGAAACTTATACGAAATTTCCCACATGATCATTGGCAAAAAGTAATTATCTTCGACCCTCTGGGTGCTCTAGAAGTTGGTAACATTAATTCTAGTTCAACATATTACTCAACGTAGTAATAAGTGTGCGCGCACCTGTGCTTGTCGGCGTCGCCGCCAAGGCGCAGCTCAGCGCCCTTCATGAGCGCGAAGCCGTTGACGGTGCGCGGCGTCTCGCCCGAGGGGCTGCCGGCGTCGTCGGCGGAGGCGTGGCCGTTCACCGTCACCGTCGGCCCCACCAGCGTCGCCGAACCGTTCACCGCAGGCTGCCCGTTGGCGGCCGTGGAAGTCTTGCTGCCGTTGGCCGGACTCTTGTCCGGACTGGATGAGATTTGCTGCCCGTTGGTAGCTGCCTGTGGGCTGAGGATGGGTTTGGCGCTGTGTTCGGGACTCTTTGCGGTGGGTGCGTTGGCGGAGGGGCCGTTGGCGGAGGGGCCGTTGGCGGAGGGGCCGTTGGCGGAGGGGCCGTTGACGGAGTGGCCATTGGCTGAAGGGCCGT